AATCGCGAATAGTCAAAAAAATCAAATATCTTTTTCTGCATATACATATTTTATCCTTTACTATTTTCGTTTTAAGAATTAGTGTTGCGCTTTAATTGAAACACGGTTTTTCTTATTGCTTTTATTATTAGTGTTGCGTTGAAGAATATTCGCGTTTCTTGAATTAGTGTTGCGAATATAGAATGCCCAAGATTTGACCACTGATGTGGTGGAAATATGTTCCTGCTCCTGGGAATCATCTGTTGCAGCTACAAGAGTTGCATATAGGTGGTCATACATCAGCAGCCAGAACCATGGCTGCCCTGGATTTTTCGTCATTAGTGTTGCGAATTTTTTTGATGCGAGTGCATAAATTAGTATTTATTAGTGTTGCGTTAGTAATTGAATTATATTATTATGATCATTTTCGCGAGTTCTCACCTGCCTTTTTTTGTTTATATTTTTTTTTAATTTTCTTTTTTTTTTAAATGCTAAATTAATTGCTATTTTAAATATCTGGAAGCACTCGTCGCGGTTAATTTTGAAAATTGTCCGTTATCAGACAATTTAGTAAGTTAGTGTTGCGAAATTAAAATTTATTTATTCCACTCTCGGTTTTTTTCGCAGGTTCATATCGAGTGGAATTATTTGTTTTTGTGGCTATTTAGGCCACCATTATGTTTTCTTTTTCAGCACCCTTTTTCACCTAAATTGTTGTTGATGAAAGTACTGCTGTGATATGTATATGTCTTTTTTCCATTCCTTTTTCTTTTTTTATCTTTTTATTTTATCTTTTTTGCAATACTCGCGATGCACGTTTATTTTGCAAGATATAGTTTTGCATAATAATCGTTTTGTGTGTGTAACTCGACTCTTCGTGGATCTAATAAAAGTTACATTTTTCTTTTGTTCGTGTTCGGGAAAATTATTGATTTTCGTTTATAGAAATACATGCAAATGAGTCACAGTAAAAGTGTGATTATTTCAATTTCGAATTTTTGACAAAATATTTTTGACTGTTATTGAAATTCTTGTTAATATGTGGTATATTTTCTTTCAGGAGTCATTGTTTTGTTCTGTTTCCCCAACTATTAATTCAGTAATTAAGTTTGTTGCAGATTTATTAATTTAGAACGCTTTCGTGTCGTCATGTTCAATATCATTTCAAATATATGAACTTATGTGAGTATGTCAGAGGCTCGGAAGTGAAATAACGGACGTGGAAGGAAATGACATTATGGAAAGTGCTGTATGAGCCTCATTTTTTTTTTTATTATCATTTCCATTATTTTTATATATAATCATATATATTATTATTTATAATAATTTTACTATTTTTTCTACAGTGTGTTGTGTTTGGGAAATGTTATGGTGCGAACGGAAACTGTGTGAGTGGCTTCAACGCCCACACAGTGTCTCTTTAATATTCAGATTTTTCTGATCAAATCCTTGGTTTCTTGTGTATATAAGATGTTTGAAATTTTCTCTGGATTTATGACAGAAAGGTTTTGCGAAAACCCACTAGATTTGTGATAGGTCGGTTATGTTGAAAGCTTCTAGATTTGTGATAAGTAGAGATTTCATTAAAATTCATCTGATTTCTGATAGGATACTGTGAAAGATATCCTTAATCTCCCTATACTTGGTACTTTAAGATATTTTTAATTTCGATGTAAGTAGGGCTGACTATTTTTTTTTTTTAGGTTCTTTGTATTACTGTAGGCTGAAAGTCACATTTATTTTACCGTGTATTTATTATGTTTGAATTTTCTTTGTTGGTTGGGTTTATACTTGCCTTTAGATATTGAATAAAAGGTGAATTAGTCTTTCACCTTTGTACGCTATTATGATTTTAAGGAGAATTTATGGTTATGTGTGTTTATGTCAAGTTAGGATTATGATTAAATTAGTTGTTAATTACGATCAGTGCTGGCACATTAGTCTTTAAGTTGAGTAAAATTTTATATTGGTAAGTAATATTAAGTGGTATTGAGTAGTATTAGTTTGCATGAAGTGGGTAGTATTAAGTTATTTTAGGTAGTATTAAGTAGTATTGGGTAGTATTAAGTAGTATTGGGTAGTATTAAGTAGTATTGGGTAGTATTAAGTAGTATTGGGTAGTATTAAGTAGTTGGGTAGTATTAAGTAGTATTGGGTCAACTATTTTATATTTTCAAGCCGATATGCATGTACAGTATTGATGTTTGTACGAGACATCACCTGCTTTTTTCATCTTTTTAAATATCGATTGTTATATTTTTGATTAAAAATGAAGCTGTGCAATATTGACCAATTGTAGTATAATATCATCTGACATAATTTATCTCTTTCTTCTATGTTTAAATTGTCTTTTATTTCCAGGTTTAATCTGTCTTTTACTTCTAGGTTTAGTCTCCCGCGTCGGTTTTTCGTTTAAATTCTTTTTGATGTTTGATTTACACAGCGATCAAAAATTGAACGTTTTGCAAACGTGCATCAAAGGAGAAATTTATTTGAATATTAGTCAATTTTCCGCTAATGGAGGGTGGATGGGACGTGGTTAGGGTGGGTCTCCATTCGCAGCACCTCCTCGTGGTGAGACCTGGGCAATCGGTATTATTTGACGTATAATTCCTAATTGTATCACTATAGTTGTGTGATATATAGCTAATAGTTGTGATACAATTATGAATTATATAGCAAGTAATATGAGCTAATTGGCTGCGATTTTAGTGTTTTGGAATTTGATATATTAAATTAGAAGAGAGTGATGGGTTAGCGTTCTCCTTTCTTTTTATGTTATTTGGATATAACATACATTTCTTTTTTCTAATCTAATTGCAATACTACTTTGACAAATAGTTCTTCATTTCGCTGTTGCTCTTTTATAGAGGGCACTATTAAATTATATTTTACTTAGTTCTTACAGTCGCATATTTTCATTGGTCTGCAAGTTAGTCAAAATGGGCCTTCAAAGCAGGTGTAATATAGACTCATAATACATATAAATGTATTGTAATTTATATCAACCTATTTGTCTTTTGTATTATTTTGGCTGTTGTTTTGATATACTGTCGGTAATGTTGTAGGTGATACCAAAATGGTAAGGAAGCTTCAGAGAATCTAAAAACTCATCCGAACAAATATTAGGTGAACTTTGCACACATTGTGTACATAAAGCCAGTAATAATTTCTCTTTGAGGTAAAAGGATAGTTTAATTTTTATTCCAATTAGTATTAATTTTATAATCTTGTTCTGTGCTCAGTCGGTCACATTGTGAATGATACTTCAATGGTAAAACGATTCGTCATGCTCCGGATGAGTTGTATATAGTACATAGTATTGTTGATCTTATTGGTTGTATAGTCAAATTTATTTAATTTTTTCAATAGAGGTTGTTATTATTATGATATTTGTTCCTTGGAATTCGATTTGTGGGTTCTCCATATCGTATGTGAAATATTTTACGAAATTAAATTGTTACTTTTCTGGGAGGTTAGGTGTAATTAAGTCAGAGTATATGTTTGCTTTTTACGTTTGTGAAGTTGTGCACTATGAATGAATTTCAAATAATTAAGAATTTTTCTCGTTAAAAAATATATATTTTTTTAATTTCCTAGTTTTGTACATATCTATGCATTTATGATATATGTATGACGCAATTGCAATATAAAAGCATAATTTCTTATTCGTGCATAGCTTTGTAACTACAAATACTGTGAAACACTGTGTTTAATACTTCTTTGGCTGTATGAGTATCAGAATTACTGATTCTAATAATACTTCCAAATTCTCGAATATAATGGTCTAATTCCATATCCTTTGACAAATCTTTTGTTGATATATATTTATTTGTTAATTGTGATAGTTTCAATAAGTCAGAACTAAAGGCTTCATCTAAATCAAATAATTCCAATGCTGGTGGTGGTAGTTCTTGGAAACTTGGTGGAAATACCTATAAATCATTGTTGATGTTGTAATTGTAATTTAAAATATGTAATTGTAATAAAAGTTATTACCGATGCTTGTGTGGGTGGTAATGGTGCCTCAAAATGTGGTGGTATTAGTGTGAGAGCTTCGTGTTTTATACCTAGGACTTCATAAGCCTTTATACAAGCTGGTACCATGTCTAAGTTTATCGAATAAAGATGATGTTTAAATAATTTGGTATATTCATGAGGATTATCCATTATATCCATATCCTGAGTACATACTTTTGGATTATTAGCTTGTTGTGTTATGTCTGGTATAAAATTATATTCCCAGAACTACATAAAACATTAACATTAATACTAATAAAAGATTATCTTAATTAATTAGATGTAAGTAACTATCATGATATGAAAGCTTACATCTACATCATCCATTTGATATTCTTTGATTATGATATCTTTGGATTCAAAAAAGTCAAAGATCATTTGTCTTAATGTATCATTTTTTTCCTTCTCTATATATGTATCAGTTAACATTCTTGAAGAACCTAAAACAAGTAGTTTCCCATGGTTGGCTTCATTGTAATGATAAGCACAAATAGGTCTGTTTGTTGGAATTGCTATTGATCCACTGGATAATGCTACTATGGATGGTTGTGCTACATTTAAAGTTGCACCATATGGATACAGAAAGTTCATATCTCTGAAACAAGATAAATTTAAATAATATACTATCTTTAGGCAAAGTCATAGGTCAGTTAGTCAACTAATATTTCGTATCTAAGTAATTTACATATGTTCATTATAATTTTTTGAAAATATGGATTTGTTTGACATTCCTTGAGAAATTAAACATTCCTTTGGATGCATTGTTTGGCTGTAACTCATACGTATAACGCTATCTAAAAATTAAATATATAGGATAATAATTTCAATAAATAATATCATAGCAATGAAAAATCCTTAATTTTCAGTTACATCTAAATAAATTTTATAATGAAATACCATTGTTCACCATTATACCAAATTCTTCCAGTAAAAAGTTTACATTAGTATTTGACTTCTTTTCACCACCTTCGCCAAGCATAACTAAAACATGTCCTCCAGAATTAAGAAATGTTCTAATTGCATTCATTTCCAATTCTGTAAATTTATTACGTGGACCAGGCAATATCAATATTTTTCCTGTTGATAATAATTCTTCTGTCAAGACGTCGTTGTTTCTAAAATACGATAAAGATAATAAAAAATATATTTCAGATTAAGTTGAATAAAATCAGAATATAATTAGTATCGTATTACTCGATAAATTTCCATTTTGATTTCAATTTTCTTTGTAAAACTTTGAATTCTTCGTTCAATTTTCTTTCGCTCTTTGAAGCGTCAAAAATTATGACGTTTACATTGTTGTTACTGTCATAATTGCCGAAGATTGAGCTCATAGTGATTGTCACTTTATTATCATGAATTGAATAAGTGATGTTAAAAAAATTTTAAAAAACTTCAAGTTAGTTCTACCTTTTAATGGTTTACTGATTAAATTGTGCTTCGATATGGTCATGTGTAGTTTGTCGTTGTTATTGGCAACTATGAACATATCAAACTTTCGAATGTAATTGGATGATACTATAGGTGTGTGTAGGGGTGTAATACAATGAGATAGTAATTTCTTCATAATATTTTGTTAAATTAGTAACAAATGTAAAACGGACAGTAGATTCGATTAATTTTCTTGTTATTTAAAAAATGTCAATGTTTTACCTCGAATTCGTAATCTATAGTATAAGCAATTACATTTGTACATCGAAGCAACATAAAAAGTGTGATAAAAGAAAAAAAATGAAATGATTTGTATTACAATCATTTATTTTTTTTAGTTTAAAATTATAATTATTTTACAAATTATGAGTGTATATGGTTTTGTACAAAATTGAAGTATATCAAAACGATCAGCTGATCATATACAGATGGCGTTTTAGATGACAGACTCGATACGAGTGGTATTCAAAATGGTTGGTTGACCATGTGAGTGGAAGGATTTTATAATTATTTAAGAGTTAATACAAATAAAATGACGGCGATTGTGCAAGAGGACAACGAATTGAAGAGGTTACTTGGTAACCCTGCGAAAAATGCTGGAGAGGATAGCTTGATGGGGCCACCGCAATCGGTAAAGTAATAAATATGTTCACATAGTATACATTTGTTCGCAAATTGTTTCTTATTCATATTTTAGACTAATGTTCCACGGCCGAGCACTTCGCAAAATGTCAATCCACAATCAATGATCACGCCAATGACCCCAGCTAATAGTACAAAAGAAGTAATAGAACCATGTTTACAGTAAGTGAGAATTACTGGAATTTTAAACCTGTTTTATTTTCTTACATATTATGTTATATTTATATTCATATAAAATTATCTTTCATATCTATATAAATTTTATAAGAAATAAATAAATTTATTATTTTACAAATAAAAATGTTTACCAGTTTATTTTAAGTTTAAAAATAAATATATAATATATGGTGGAAGATTTTTCTCTTTTCTTTCAGAAATGTAGTTTCTACAGTTAATTTAGGTGTAGAATTGTTATTAATGTATATTAATACAAGGACAAGGAATTCTGAATATAACCCAGCAAGATTTACGGGTTTGATCATGAGAATAAGAAACCCCAGAGCTACAGCGTTGATTTTTCATTCAGGCAAATTAGTATGTACTGGAGCAAGATGTGAAGAGGATTCTTATTTAGCAACGAGGAAATTTGCAAGAATAATTCAGAAGTTGGGTTTTGCAGTAAGATGCATATGTTACATGTTAAGTGAACAAAAACTAACTTCTCTGTATTTCATTTCTCTTGTCCATGTTATTACAGGTCAAATTCCATAATTTTAAAGTACAAAATATAGTTGCTACATGTGATTTAAAGTTTCCAATTAAATTAGAAAATTTAAATCATATACATGGACAATTTTCTAGTTATGAACCTGAACTTTATCCAGGTCTTATATATAGAATGGTATCACCAAGAGTAGTATTGCTTATATTTGTAAATGGAAAAATTGTATTAACAGGTAAGAATTAATTAAGAGATTCTTTTTTAATTATCCTTAATTTTCTTCTGAATTTAATTCTAGTTTTGTTAAGAACTTTTAAATATATGTATATATTTATATTTATATAATAATATTTTAGGGGCAAAGAATCGAACTGAACTGCAGGATGCATTGAATAATATATACCCAATACTGAAAAGTTTCAGAAAGCAGTAACAGTATTTTCCATATTTTAAGCTTTTTTTTCATAGTATACAATTTATATAAGAGTAACACAGTCCATCATGTACTAAGTGATCTAGTTAATTAATTCAAGCTCTTGATGTAATTTATTTGCCAAGCAGCAATTATTTATTAGTAAAAGTAAATTTTGTATATTAATATCTTATATTTACGACGATTGAACAACTTGTAATGAACTTTGGATAGTAAGTTAATTATGTTATTTATATAAATATTGTACAAATACTATAGTATATACATATACAATATGCTTAGCTAATTCTTGTATAGGTTTTAAATATATAACTTTTGTATGATTGGGAATAAATGCAAGACATCATTTTGCTATATATACATATGTATGTATACATATTTCTAAACAGTGTAAATACTTAAAATAATACGATAGTAGATTTATTATTATAAAAATAAAATATAATTGGTAAGTATATTACATTTACAAAATTTTTATCTTTTCAGATATAGTTTTAACATAAATTATTGGAAAAAGGTATGAAAAATATATTTTATAAGTAGATCAATTATTTAACATTTATACAAGTGTTACTTGTGTTTACCATTTTGTGAAACAACAATAATTTTTGTACAGCTGAGATTTATAGAAGTTTAATATATAATTATTAATAACAGAATACATATAATTTTCCACAACATAACACAATTGGGATATTTAATATATCTTTTGTTTAATATATGTATACTGATTTTGAATTGTTATTTTGCATCAAAAGTAGGTGATACATTATTAAAATATATATGTAATCTTATTTAGCACCAGGTTTTCGGATTATGCAAAATCTTTTCGTTTAATTATAAATTTATCTATCTTTCGTATTATTTTTTAATGAATTACCACATACTGGATTGAGGAAGTTTATTGATATATTCTGAAATGTAACGCTTTCGTTAATCCTTGTACCGTGAGATCATCCGCTAAGATATGTCAGATGTTTCAGTAGATAACGTTTAGACCTTTCTTCGCCGCGATCGGCAACTTTTCTCCCCGGAAGAATGGATTTTCTTCCTGAAATACATAAAAATGAAAAACCTTTTGGAAACGAATTTTGGAAATTGCATATTTGAATCAAGAAATTTTATAGGTTTAGAGAATTTGTAAATTTCTTTGTAAAATTCTCTTTTCTTAAATAATTTTACCATAAAGATATCGTTAGTGATTGGAGAAAAATGGAGGGATAAAGTGATGCTCTACAGTTAAATGGCAGGCTCGATTAGATATTTGATTAGATAATTCAATTTTAAATAAACCGATGATATCTCACAGCCTGAAATTGATCGACAATTTCATTGAAATTAGAGTTGGGAATGTGCATGCTTTGTAGATTATTGTTGTTCGCGGAGTCAATCGGACAATCCAACATATGTTCCGTGTCACACATGCAATCTTGCGCGCTTTGGTACTCTTGGCTGAATGCAGCGGTATTTTTGAAATTCATGATACAATTGTTCTCACCTGTACAATAAGCATAATCAATTAATTCCTTTAAAGACTATGTCTACTCTTACTTTCTTAGCTTAAGCTCAATGAAAATTCCGTGTTAATCACGATTTTCAAATAATTAATTACTCACTGGTGTACCCAACTGGGCAGGGATTCGGTGGTGTGCAATAAGCAGGTAAAGCGTTCTCTTTCTCGTCTTTGATAATCTTTATGCTTCCAGGCTTAACTCTTAGCCTGTCGTTCGTTCTGTCATTACTACTGACACGTTGGTGACTCCATAAGCTACTGTGTCTCAGATACTCTTGGTCTCGGATGCTAGGATTTGGGTTCAAAGTGTCTATGCTATCGTAATCAGCAGGTAGCTCAGTGGGAATTTCTTTCGGTTTGTCCTGATATTCCAGATAAGAATCCGCTGTGTCCACCAGTTTATTTCCCATTTGATTGATTAATTGTCGAAGAAGCGTATCGGTCAGCAACCGCTAAAAAATCGAAGAAGAAAGTATCAGATTAGAAGATAAAAATTAAGAAGATAAAAGGAAGCAAAATGTTACCTTAAACGTCGGAGACAAGTACACAGATGCACACTGATGAACAGCAGCAGTCATGGAAAGGAACAGGATCCAATACATGGTTTTCAAAGTTTATAATTAATCTACGAAAAATAAACGTCAGAAATATTATATTATACGATCATCGTCAATGACTTCGACGAGAAAATATGTTTGCGTTTAACAATCGGAAAATAATTTAACTCGTTCGTTTTTCAAAACTAAAAACGATACACTGCAGACTAAATCGACAAATGTTCCATATCACATTGACAGCATACATCATTGTTTATAATTCAAACGTTAAATATTTTCTTCCCAAATACCCCATTTACGTAACGTTATTGCACACATCGTACACCGATAATTTAAAAAGTTATATACATCACAATATAACAATTAAACAATCTGCATCTCCATTTGATCTTCAGCCACGATTAGCCAGCCAATATGCAACATCTGACGCAAACACTCTCATCGACCATCAACCCTCTCCCTCGAGGCCAATGGACAACCGTTCCCATGATTTCCATCGTTACGATTTCCAGAAAATAAATTAATTTACAACAGAGTGTCGAAATACAGGAACACAGGAAACAGATTCTCAAGAATTGGAGGATAATTCGAAAGTATGGAACTTACCAAGAATCGTGGAATGATCTCGATGAAGGGATGCTCGAGGAGGTAGCGCGAGTGCTAAGGTATTCGGTTTTGGGATCAGGCGCACAGGCGTCTTCGTCCACCGGAAGTGGCGCTGCGCTCGTTCGGAATCGAGGTATTGATCCGCGTTTTCCGCGCCGCTTTTCCCCTGGTTTCATCGGCCACCGCATCGCCCACGAACCATTCCCGCAACCCACATTCGTAAAACCGAGTTACGAGCAAAGGTCGGCCCACGACGGAGCCTCGTGACGTCGTTTCTGCGATTAAGGATGAGTATCTGGCTCACTGACTCCATGATAATTTCTCCACCAGATCGAAGTATTCTCGCTGTTCGACGAATGACTTGGTTATGCGAGGAATTCTAGACGTTGCAAGGATTTTCCTATTTTTTCAGCTTTTGGTATTTTCTCTTCAGCATGACGGGTATTTAGGAAAATATCCTTAGACCGTGGCATTCCTTACAATACCGTACGAATATTTCGAATTGCGAATAGAAATTTTCCTAATTTTTAACACGTTTCAAGTGTGATTGAAATTTCTGATACGCTTCGTGGATCTTTTTAACAAACAAAATCATCGTTTACCAAACTTTCGTTAAAAATTCCTTGTTCAACGTTATTATTTAACACTAGAACTACCAACCCAGTGAAAATGACTGGTCCCAGAATTTTCCTTTTTGCAATCATCGAATACATACACCTGTTTTAAGAATAAAATTGGTATCAACTCCTATTAAGAAAGAACTGTAATCGATATATTCACTCGTATTCGTCGTATCGCTGAAATTACTATAATCTGTGCACGTTATAGTTAGTTACCCATTAAAGATCGGTAGTTCTAGTGTTAATCACTCGTCTTCACGATTTTTCTTCCAATATACGTATGATCATTTTCTCAGTATTTCCCGTTATTCTTTTTATTATTATTTTTTAAAGCTTCTACTTCATTTCCGTTCACCGGTTATTTGACCGTGGTGGGTTTAAATATCGGTAGTTGGACTTCCAGGAATTTCCGGGAAATTTTCTCAATTTCCTCTTTCGGAAATTTTTCCAAAATAGTTCTAAAGTTTAGAATATTTAAAATTTCTATGACGTTCGTTGCGTGTAAAATAAAATTAATTGAATCTTTGGATCGAAGAATCTATGAAATTCTGAATTAAGTGGAGATTAATTCCTGGAGAAGGAATTATTTGTCGCTCGTTAAAGAAAATTCTGTAATTGCTGGACGTTTATCGTTGGAAGAGGTCGAAGATCGAAAAAGTTTCGTTTAATCTCGAATGGAAGCTTGCGTCTTTAAATTTTCTTGAAGCTAGTAAGTCCGAGTTAGTTTTCGACAAACACTTTTAACGCTGCATAACGTAGCGTGGAAATTGGAAGAAAAATCCGTGGAAAAATATTTGACCAGGCATTTGGTGCAAGAATCGATGTTGGATAGTCACCATCGCTTTCATCGAACATCGATGGATGGTCTAAAACACGAAATGGCACTGGTGACATCCACGAGGGCGGCTCAGAGATCAAAAGACCCCTGGCATTGATTATGGTCGTATATAAACGTCCATTAGTAATTGTCTCGCTTTGCATACTTCCAACTCAATTTCTGAAATCGAATTGCTACCGTGTTTCCGTCCACTGACGAAAATTGCTCTCTTTATTGAATCATGTTCTCGCGCAAGGAACATCTCTCGTCTACGAATCATTGCGTTACAGCGATCAAGTAAGCCATAATTCTGGTTGCTTTCGTATGAAATTTCTGTATAACTGCACGTGTAATGTAATTCTGAATAACTCGCTGGAATTTGCAGCTATCTTAAACGTATGGGTGTAGAAACATTAATGACAAATTTAACGATTAATATTTAATTAAGTTGTAAATAAAGGTCAGGTTTGGTGGAATATTCGTGAGATACATTTGTAATTATTTTCTGTCTGGTGATATTTCGAGGAAATTTAAATACATTGAAATTCTGTCTCATTTCGTGTCGTTGCTTTTCCCAGAGATTTTTGAATTATTTACTAAACTTAATATCGGTTCTTGATCATTGAATAATTGACCTCGTTAGCTCCTTGGCATATGTTAAGGGAACTTAATTTTGTCGTTGATTACGGTGTTAATGCTTACATAGATTTAATAAATGAGGCACACAGATCTTAGTAATTGGGTTAATAACTTAGGAAACTAAATACCTCGGAAGTAGGTTTCAGTAATAAATTATTTTCTTTATTCATGAGGAATAACTTTCTTTTTTCCGCAGATTCATGAAATATTAATTTTTTCTCGAAAAATATGTAAATTTTGGTAATTTTAATTTGCTATGTTTATTTTTCTGCTAGTGATAAATTATTTTCTAGAAGAAAATAGGGGAAGTACAAAGAGGAGAGGAAGGACGGTGCAGGGACAGAAAATTATTTTTCTCTAAGGAGATAAAGGAGATGAAGGAAGTGTTATCCGATTACTAGGTACACCTTTTTATCTCAAGGTTAGCTATTTATCCGCTTACTGTCTTTTTGTATTTGACAAATTATTATCCGTTGTTTATATTTTTATAAAATAACGTTACCAAATAATATTATTAAATTAAACCTTCTTATATAAATTACGAATTTTTAAAAATTGTAAATGATTTTGTATTTATCGTTTCAGGAATTCAATCTTAATCAAATTACGAGGATAACGATTCGCGAAAATCAATTTTTGCGATGTGATTAACGATGAAACAGTTCCTGGAAATACCGCAAAACCGAGAGGAGTTTCCAATGCGAGATGTTATGCTCAATGGTTCGATAACGTTGTGCATAAATGTCTCACTGTTGGCACGTCGAAACGTATGAGACACGTCACGCACGTTAATGGATTTGTTATCGGCAGTTAAACGACCAAAACGTACGGGGGTGCACGTTAATTTACTTGACGAGGGCTGACTTTTTATTTCGGTTCGTTTCCGCGTCACGAATATTATTTTTGATACATATCCGCGATAATAATGCGGGTTTCCTGGTCACGGAAGGGTAGTTTTATACTTTATTTTCTTCGCAAGTCGAGCTTGAATCGTAATTACTGGCATGATAGATTTCAGTTGATGAAACGAACGATAATCTGCATTATGGTATCGAAAATTTGCAATACAGCATGATTTTTCATTTAATATTTCTTTATTTTATTGCGATGCAATAAAAAGTACCAATTATAATGGATCACTCGTAAATTATTTAAATTTGCAGGCTTTAAACAATTTTTAAAAAATTTTGAAAATTATAGGAAATTTATGGGAGTAGATCTTGTGGTGTTGGAGATAATTGAAAGATTTATTTAAACGATTTTATCTCGGGATAAAGTGTTTGGCAGTCGAAGGGTTATGTGCATTATGGTATCGAAAATTTGCAATACAGCATGATTTTTCATTTAATATTTCTTTGTTTTATTGCGATGCAATAAAAAGTACCAATTAGAATGGATCACTCGTAAATTATTTAAATTTGCAGGCTTTAAACAATTTTTAAAAAATTTTGAAAATTATAGGAAATTTATGGGAGTAGATCTTGTAGTGTTGGAGATAATTGAAAGATTTTATTTTGTCTCAGGATAAAGTGTTTGGCAGTCGAAGGGTTGGGGTATATTTAACGAAGCAATATAAGCAACCACCTTTCCTCTTCAATATTTATGCTTCCTTTAATTCGCTAGAAATTGTAATTTCCCAACTATTTCGACCCATTAGCCCATAACAATTTAACTTTGCTAACCTTCGATCCTCAAAACCACACACTATTAACCTTATCATCTCAAACTTCATTCCATCCAACTTTCTACTAAAATCAGTAATCTACACCGTGTATTTTCTCGAACTCCGTCAAGCAGGGCACCAGTATTTTTAATTATGCTAAATTAAAATTCCTCGATCAATTATTGGTACAAGTTAACCCAAGCCACTCTTCAGCTAATTATAAGATATCGACTATTAGTCACGTAGATTATGCTTCGACATTATGCCACCCCTTTTGCACCATCAACTAGGTTGGGTAGGGTAGATCCATTCGGTGTAAGGAGAATCCTGCAAAAGAGTTTCCAAACGATCGTGTCATCTATACTAATCGATTTATGATCGACCAAAAATTGACGGAAAATCATAGTCGTTGTAATTGTCACGGATTTCGTTAATAATGATATGTCTTCTATAATAATCAAGAATTTATTGATCTTTTCGTTTTCATTATAAATTTATTCTTCGAGAAATTTGTTATTAACAATTTCAATTTGTTATCTGAACCTCTTAACGTTCTTACTTTTTATGTAATTCTTCATTTTATCAAAAAATCCTGCCGTTTTAGAAAAACTCACATTTTTTGGAAACTGAGGGTGAAAGAATTTTGATTAGGGATTCTTGTCCAGGAATGTAAATTCTACAAGAAAAGGAATTACAATTTGTTGAACAGAGTTATCTCTTTATTCTGAATTCGGTATATATTTGCCCAATATCTGTATATTTTAATTTGTTATTTGAATTTCTAAACGTTCATACTATTTATGTAATTCTTCATTTTATCAAAAAATCCTGCCTTTTTAGAAAAATTCAAATTTTTCGTAATAGAACAATTTTGATTGCGGATTCTTATTTAAGAAAATAAACTCTACAAGAAAAGAAATTAAAATTTACCTCAAATTCGGTATATATTTGCTCAATATCTGCATATTTATCTCAGTATTACAAAACCACCCCTAATCCAAAATCCGAACCCACCATTGGTCATCGCTCAATGTCTAACATACTTATCGACTACCCCTCACCCTTTTCGAATCATTACAACCTCGTATCACTCCTTTACTTTACTCTGTTCATCCCCTTTCACAGTCCACGAAATTTATCATCCTGTTCCCGGTGTCACCGTTTCGTTTCTCGAAACGAGTTACTCTCGTTTGCCTTACTCGTTCAGTTATGAACTCGTACCCTATTCTAACACCCATACAGGGTGATTCAATTCCTCACCGGTGGCTCTTCAAATTGGCGTGGCGTTATTAACCCATTTGCATCTAAGCGCGGAATATTCCGCGAGCCACGACTGTCGTCTATCAC